CCAGAGATGTAGAGGGTGAGCGGATTCACCAGAAACAGATTGGGGAGCAGAACAGGCAGATCGAAAAAGTACACTGCTGAGGGGAGCAGCGGGCGGGTCAGGAGAAGTCTGCCGCGCCATGTGGATCTCCTCTGGGGTAGGCGGGGATCGAACTCATGCGGAAGTGGCTTAAGCTTCTCAGTGCTGTGCTTTAACCCGCTGTGCCACCAGGGAGGGCCAGTATTTTTAATGTCTCCTATTTAGCAGATGAGAACAGAGATGCTCAGACTGATTTGCTGAAGTCCCAGAGTTCAAATTTTGGTCTTTATTGTATCCATGTGATTGTAAAGTACCATCCAATGTACTGAGTACTTTTGTCATTTATAGTATTGTTTTCCCCAGCTTAAACTGTTAAGAAAATTGGTTTCTTAGCTCATGAAGAGAAACATTTATGAAAATCTTATTTTTTCATGACTCATTAGCATCTATTCCCTAATTATCATGTCATGGGGCTCCTTCAATCAATTTAAAATTTTCTTTAAAAAAAATCATTGGACTTTATCTTATTCCAACAGTAGATTTGAAGATCATTGCCAAAGGCATGAGATAGCTTTGTGGCAGGGTTCTGAGGAAAGAACCAGGAGGCAGATGGAAATAAACCTTCTGCAAATAAGGTAAAAAATTTGCTGTGAGGATAAGTTCTGGTATAATGTGGTCAGAATCAGGCAATTATAAGCAATACATTGTGGCCATAGTAGTTACCCACCAAAGTAACTACTTCTGTCCCCACTTCTTTACTGACCTAAGAATGAGATAAAGGCCAAGGAATGTTGTGTGGGAGAAGTCTGGCTACATTAAATTAAGGTCAACAAGGTAAGAGCTACTACTTTGTAAAATTTGTTTTTCTATCTTGTTGGGTAGGAAATTGATGAAACACTCATTTTTCTTTTTTGAAACATTAAAGACCAATTCGTCTCTGTGGCTATTGTATTTTTCAAACCAAAGAGGAGTTTCTAGTCAATGTAGGCATGAGTTCTAAATGTCTTCCGTCTATTTGTTCAGTGTTAGCAGTTCACAGTTGTCATTCAGTGGGTCACTCACTGATGATCTGGGAGGAATTAGTGATTGAGCAGTGAAAGATTAGCTGAGGTTCTTGGTCCCAATGGGAATGTCTTTTGGTTAAAGATGGGATGACAGCAGGTTCCTAGGATCAATATGCTGGGCCAGTTTGGGTATTGAAAATGAAGGCTATTTCAAGGGCACCTTTTTTTCCTATTAAAATATAAGATACATCTTTTATGAGTTTCAACGCATAAAGAAGACTGCTTCTCGATTTGCAAATCCATTGCATTTTCTACTAATGTTCCTTTTGGCATATTCAACTAGTTCTATGAGATGCAGAAAGCTGAGACTGGAAGATGATAGAAAAAGTTGGGTTAGTGGCTTGAAACAGGCAGGCCAGTTCTCAATGAGCCCCACTTGCAGGAATAACCCTCTGGATTTTTTTTTAGTTTAAATTTAAGCAATGTTTACATTTTTTCCTTTAGGACCTCCCTGGTGGCACACGGGTTAAGTCTCAGCGTTAGCAAACTATCTGAGCCACTGGAGCATGAGTTCATCCTTGGCCAGGGAGCTGACCCACGTGGCGCAGCAGATCTCTCCCGTCTAGCCCACTGCTTCCCCTCAGCAGTGTATTTCAGTAGCTCTGCCTGTTCTGCTCCCCACTCTGCCTCTGGTGAATTCTCTTACCCCTACACCTCTGGCCTGCAACCCAAGTCTTTTGTGCATAAGTAAAAAAAAAAAAAATATTTAAAACAGTAAATTCTTTCCGTTGGAAAACTCTGCTGAAGGCCTGTTTTTCAGCGAAGATTTGCTTAATTCTCTGTCTTCATTTTTTTAAATTGTAGATATAGTATTGTAAACATAAGAACTGTAAAATCAACCCCTAGTGGGTTTACTCAATGTCTTAAATATTTACTTGTATCATTTTTGAAAAGTAAAGTCAAAACCCTAAAAACCTTATACTTGGAGTTCTTTGGATTCAATCTTTTGAAGGTTTTTGCAGAAAATTATGATGTTTCTGTTTGTTAGTTGAGCAAAACATTTTTGATTTGAAAATTGGGTTATGAAGAGCTAGGATGAACTCAACACAAAAGTAGGTTGAGATTGATGGAGTGATCAGGCAGTCACCCCTAGTTAAATTACACTTGGTTTACTTTCTTGAAGGTCTCAGAGGAAGAAGTCACAGAGAGCCTGGCAATATACTTGGATAATAATAGAAGTGTAAACTCTTCTTCATAAAGGATCTCACCAGTAGAATTGAGGATTGTAACATTTGGAAAATCACCTTTTAGTACATAAAACTGGAGATGCATGATACATCAGTTGGTCTAGATGGGTGTGGGTAATACCACTTCACCTGAGCTAGGTAAATGTCATTAATCTTGAGGATGTATAACATCAAATATGACTGACTGCATAACATCAAATATGTCTGGTGTGGTGCAGTGCACTCTGGCGTGAATACAGCCTGGTTTCTTACCCTCTCCCTTCTCCAGTCAGCCCAGCTTGTCCAAGCACTCCCCTGACAAGAGTTTTCTTACCCAGTACCTCTGGGAGTCGTGGTAACATACGCTTAGACTTTGCAATGAGAAAACACAATAGATTCAGACCTGAAATTGAGTGCTGCTCATGCTATTATCCCAGGTGGCAATATATTAAATTAAGTAAGACTCTAATTCAATTATGTATCAACATGGGAAAATATTGACTTACCTTCTCTTCCTGTTGGAAACTTAAGGAGTATTAAATGTTAGTATTTTGAGGAAGTTCAAACAGCTTTCCTTACCAGTATCTTGCAACATGGCCAGAGAAGGCCAAACTTTTTCCGACAAATGCTTGGGTGAGTAACACTGGTTTAAGCAGATGTCTTAGCAAAATATTTGTGAAGTTGGGCTTTCTTGCACCAGCAGGGAGAAATTCCTTCTGCTCTTTTAAATTTTGTGAGTTAAAATCACAATTAAGTTGTCTCATTGCTAACGTGGTTCTACCAGGAAATCCGCTCCCATCTTTTCTTAGAGAATCTATTCTACAGTATCACTTCCATTTGATGACCTTTAAAAGATATTTTTTTTTAATATCTGCACTGTAAAGTGAGGTGAGACTCTTTCTCCACTCTAACATTTTCCTGATTCTTTGCATTTCCAAACATGGAACTTCTGTCCACATTATGTTGGTTGTTTTGAATACTCTGAATCCACCCTCTCCTTTTTTTTTTTCCAGATTTATTTATTTATACAAAGAAGAACTGCGGTGTTGGACAGAGGTTCAGGGAGAGAAAGGACTCACCAGAGACAGAGTGGGGAGCAGCAGGCAAGACAGGAAAGGTCTGCCACGCCATATATGGGTCAGCTCCCTGGTGGGGATGAACCCAGGTGGTAGTGGTGATAGCGCTGAGACTTAAACCCTATGCTTTTAAACTTCAGAATTTTCTCTATGTATTGTTTTAATATATTTTTTAAACAAAAAAAAATTTTAAAAGATTTATTTACTTATGCATACAGAACTGGGGTACAGGCCAGAGGGCAGGGGCAGTGAGAGGATTCACCAGAGAGAGAGTGGGGAGCAGAACAGGCCGACTGACAAAGCACACTGCTGAGGGGAGCAGCGGGTGGGTCAGGAGAGGTCTGCTGCGCCATGTGGTCACCTCCAGGGAGGGGATCGAACTCATGCTGCAGTGGCTTTAGCTTCTTAGTGCTGTGCTTTACCCCGCTGTGCCACCAGGGAGGGCCCTGTTTTTTTTTTTGGGGGGGAGGGCTCTGTTTTAATATCTTGCTCTGTACTCAGCTTATCCTATGCATCGCCTATGTGTCACTGAGATTTATTTGGCATCCAATCTCATGTAACTTTTAGCTGTGCCCCAGGCTTATTTGATCCATTTACTGTTCGAGACATTTGTCATCAGTCAGCTAACATTTGTATCATGTAATTATCATTTTTGTCCAGTGTTGGGAGAAGTGAAGATCGAGTGTATCAGTAAGTTTAATGTTTACAGTTGTCTATAATCTTTGTACTGGGCTTTCAGTCTCTAGGACCTATTTTTCTGCTAGATGCTACGGCCAGTGAACCTTTGATATATGAATTAGAAGATCTTCCAGGTCTCATTTGAGTGAATTATCACATATGCCCTCTGGAAAAATCTTTCAAAGTTCTACACATCCGCCCTGCAGATCGAGAATCAGGCAAGAGCACAGAGCCCCTAGAAAGCCTGTGTCCCAGATTCTCAACATTACACTTCTTGCTTCTGCTGCAGCTTCTCTCTACGTGCCTGCATCCAACTCTCGGGCTTTGAGCCCCTGGGAGGTTTTTGTTGTATCACATGTGGCTTTTCTGAATGGACCTGTTTAGTATAGTGCCGGACACAGCATATCCTAAGTGCTTAAAGCTGTTGGAAGAAAAGTAGCAAACTTATAGGATCTTGTAGATAAATGGCCTTTGTTTCTCAAAACACTGATCTGGCATTTACTGCTCGTGATGTCAGTACCATGTCCTACACCTTGAAAGGGAGGGTAAGATGGCCCCATTTATCCTCCTGATCAGTGTTCAGGATCCTCAGGATCTGTGCCTGTAGTGACCGACTGATAAAAACCTCAGCTACGAAGGTTGGCGTAAGAAGGCCAGGCCAGGTTAGGAGTGAAGAGTGTAGCCCCGAAAATGCTGGGCTCCACGAGGGTGGGAGGGTGGGAATGGTGGGGTGTTCCTACTGCTTCCACTCTTTGCAGCCCCTCTGCCCCGGTCATCACGGGGCTCCTGGGGGCTTTACTGGACCTTACAGCCCCTCTCCTGACCCCTGACATTTAACTCTCCTTTCCCCCCTGACAACACAACCCAGAAGGTGGAGGTTCTTACTGCTATTTGCCCTGTCAGTAAGGGGCCTTTAATCTGTTTTAGCATGAAAAATTCATTAAGAATGTACTATTATTTCATCAGTGAAATCCTCAAATTTTAAATTAAATCCATAGGTCTGGTTTAGCAACCGCCGTGCGAGATGGAGGAAGCAAGCTGGAGCTAATCAACTGATGGCTTTCAACCACCTCATTCCAGGGGGGTTCCCCCCCACCGCCATGCCGACTCTGCCAACGTACCAGCTGTCCGAGACCTCTTACCAGCCCACAGCTATCCCACAAGGTATGGAGGCGGGCGGGAGGAAGGGGTTAACGTCTTGCACCCGTCACTGTCTTTGCTGCCTGTTTCCTAGTGAGATGTCTGCTGAGCTGGTCTGGATGCTGTGTGTGTGTGTGTGTGTGTGCATGTGTGTGCTTTGCGTGAATGTGTGTTTGCTGTGTGTGTTAATTGCACTGCACCGAGTTGTTCTGAGTGTACCTGTCACTTTTCAAAAAAAGTTTGTTCTGTGGCATAGCTGAGTCTCTTTAGATCAAGTGGGTCACAATATAACACCATTTCGAGTATTTCCAAACAAAGCCACCTTCCTAAAGAAGTAAGCCATTTGATTTTCTTCTGTTAAAATTTCACCTCTATACTTGTGCTCCTGTCTGCCGGGAGCTGCCCGTTGTGATAGTGTGTCAGTGTGGCCATATGGGGCAGAACAATCCTTGGCGAATCCCACAGCAGTGCTGGGATCAGAGATGAGACTAAGTTATTTTGGATTTGGAAAGATGGCATTTCAGGTGTTCGAAATTATCCGATCACCCTCCTAATTAGATGTGCTGCGAATCTATTCGACAAGGAATTTGAGACTTGCCATTTGTACCTTGGTTTTTCCTCGTGTTGATGATTCAGAAGAGGTGTGCTGACATGATTTCGGAATTCCTATTCTGGGCATATGCATGCATATTTCCATGAAACTGTACCTGACTTGTGTATTTGCACATATGTGCAGAGACATGTCTCAGTTTGCTTGGGATGGCTCTTCGCTGCATGTTAAGAAATGCAGCTTGAAACTAACTTGACTTGACAAGTGGCTGCTGCGAGGCTTGGTGCCTTGAACTCTTGCTCTGAACCTTGTTGGCCTACCAAGAACTTCTGACTGACAGTCTTCCTCATTGTAGCTGTGTCGGACCCCAGCAGCACCGTCCACAGACCTCAGCCGCTTCCTCCGAGCACTGTACACCAAAGCACTATTCCTTCCAACCCCGACAGCAGCTCAGCCTACTGCCTGCCCAGCACGAGGCATGGATTTTCCAGCTATACAGACAGCTTTGTGCCTCCGTCCGGACCCTCCAACCCCATGAACCCCGCCATCGGCAATGGCCTTTCACCTCAGGTCAGTTCTGTGTTTCCAGACAGACGATTTGCTGTATACCAGAACCAAATAGTCAATTCCCCGAGGCGGTCCTATAATGAATTGCCAAATTTAAACCATAATGTATTCTTTATACAAGCCACATGATTTCAGTTTTCTAGTTTCCTTTTTCTCTACCCTTCCTACTGGCTGGATCAAAAGTTGTAGTTTAGACTTAAAATTCAAGTGCCTTTTTTAGTACAATCACAGAGATTTTAGGTTCATAGTCAGTTGTCAAGGTGTTTCTCCACGCCCAGTGTTAGGCTTTGATGAAGATGCGTGCCAGCACACACACCTTGAAAAGTTTTGTTTATTTGTTTATGTTGAAAATATAGGACCTAGTGGAAGATATTGCATGGGGGACAAGTCCTTCAATTCATTAGCTTAAACAGAATGACAGCACAATCACTTATAAAAGCTGAAGACTTGATGGGAGTAGCCGGCAATAGCATTTATAGGGAGTCCTGAGCTGGGCTCTGAGGATCTCACACACTTGGTTTTAAAATGGCCTTGGCCAGCTGATGAGGGTGGGTGGGGTGAGAGACTGAGTGAAAGCATCTTTAAAAAAAAAAAAAGACACAAAAGCTTTTATAAAACAATGGCAGAGAACAAGCAAACAAGTTGTATGAAAGGAGAGCCAGAAGATGACTCCAGAATCCTGGAATAAATAAGTGATAAATGCTCAAATTAGGGGAATGATGGCTCTTTGGGAATATATAGATATTTGAATGCTGTAATTGTTTTTCTAATTTGCATTGGACTATGAGCTTTTCTTGAGAGAGAGCATATCAATAAATTACCTTGATAATTACATGTCAGTGGGTTGGTTAAATTTCCTACATGCGGCATCTGTCTGAGGTTGACATTGTTAGCAGTCGTTTAAATACAGATCACTGATTTTATTAGGGAGCCCCTGGTCCAGGTGGGAAGGGTAACTGCCCGCTAAATTTGGAGAAATGTCACAAAGGGCTGCAATCTATAATTGCAATCGGGAATCTCTTCAGGGCTGAGAGTGAGAGTTTTAACAGCTTTATCTTTTCTTAACCCCCTTTTTCCTCTTGGTGGTTAGGAAAACAGAGAGAAGCTCAGAATGACACAAATGAAAAGTGAAAAGACAATTATACTCAATTACACACTAATCACTGACTATCACCGCTGCCGAAGCACCAAGAGGGCATTCTAATAGGCAGAAAATGAGATTTTAATGGCACAAAGGGTGGCCAAAATAACGACTCATATATCTTTGCCTTCTTCGTTTTCTTCAACTTGTGGTTTGTGTCTTGGGAGTGGGGTTCCTGGGCTCTGCACTACGGTGATAACTCCGAGCAGCTGAAAAGTTCAAAGCCCTTGGAGTTGAAAAGAATGAATAGCAAAGGCAATGAAATAAACATTTCTGCCTAAAGGCAAAAGTTCATAAATCCTTTTTTGTAACAGTAAATGTAATTAAGTTTCATAGATTCCTATAGCACATCCTGGGATAAAAAAATAAGAGGTAGCTTTAAACCTCAACCGAAAAATAACAACATGAAAACAATGCACGTGCTTCTGATAGGACTTTAATAAACTTAATTTCTCAGTGCTGGCATGTGTGAGCGTGATCATGCATGATAATCATGGACTTCTATTAATAGGTTCATCTTTAAAACGCCCAGATCTATATAGCACATAATCTGCTTCCACAGTTTAGAAGTCACATCAGAAGTAGTCGTATCTTGGCAGATTTTTACGCATGTTGTTTGGGACCATAGAAAAGCTTTTTATGGATATGACTTAGTTGAGAGTTTTCGTAAAAGTTAATTCCAACACTCACGGTTTGTAAAACGCCAGCCCCTAGGATTCCTTCCCTGGGCATTTCTAAGAGTTCAATCATAATAAAAAATAACTCAAATCTGCATTCTAGAATTGAAACTGCTAGTTCCTTTATTAATAGTGTATTAACTTGTAGGTTATAGTAAGTGTATTACATTGCATTATATAAGTATCACATTAGCGGCATCGCTAGCACTTGATCTTGAAAATGTTAATCCTGATTTCCAGAAGCCTGGCTGTGATTCCAGAATTGGTGGTAGTTGGGAATCACTCCAATATCAAGCAGTGGAAAATTCCACAGGCAGCTTTTCTTGTATATCTTTAGTATGTTCTTACACATTATGTTAATTCCATTCTTACTACCTTGCAAATATCCAGGATAGTTTGCCTTTTTTGCCACACATTTCCTCTTCAGCCCACCTCCATTTTGTCTTCTCCCATGACTTAGAAAAGAGATAGTCTACGAGTTCCTCCTTATTTCCTTTGGCATAGCTGGACCGTGAAAGGCAGTGAGTAAATCAGTGTCTTGACAAATGTGTATCAAATATTGAGGCTTTGGGAATTAGAACTTTCTATAGCTCGTAGGATTGATCACTTCTTAGGAATGGGTCCACTTCAGCAAGGAGGGTGGCTTGCCTACTTTTGGGAGTCTGACTTTTTAAAAAAGATTGCAAGAGATGATGCAGAGTCCAGGTCGCACTGCTTAGTTTCCTTGTTAACCTGAGATGAGAGGAAGAGAGCATGGTGAGCTTTAGTCTTCCTGCTTCTTAGGTCAGAATGCTTGTTAATATACTGGATCGTAGACTGAATACGGAACTCCTCATTTCTCCTCTTTGCCAAGCCTCCTCTTTGGATGTTCAAAATGCAGCTAAGTTAGTGGAGGCTCAGAAGTCTGCTGAAGGCCTAGCACTGGTGGAGCGGAATTGGGAGTAGAAACTCAAATTCTTGGCCCCAAGTCCAGATCTCTATTATCATCCTTTCTCAGTGGGGTGAAGAGGAAACAAGCTTCATGAAAAATAGAGGCAGGGAACTTTTGTCAGATTTTAAAATCATTTTGTTGATGCTAGTTTTCTAGACCTTTGGGTTGTTAACTTAGGATTTACTTTCTTTTTTTTCTTTTTCTTTTCTTTTTTCTTTCTTTCTTTTTTATTGCTTTCTACACATTCCTATCAGTCTTTTAACTTCCCCTAATAATAAAAGGACTGCATGCTTATGTAGAAAATCTGGGGGAAATTGAGTGTATGTAAAGTCGAGAAAAAGTTCCTGATGGCAATCACTGTGAAATACTGTCCATACTGGACCCACAGGCCTTTAAGAAAATGTAACTAAAATAGTTAGTGGAGATAACTGCCTCTGGCTTTCTTTCTCCCTTTACATTTCTCTATTGGCCTTTCCCCACCTATTCACTTAAATTAAATTGGACCTAAACAATTTTGTGTTATTGGGGCCCATTCCTCATACATTTCTTCAGGGTTGACTGTTGGATACTTTTTACAACTTGTTTATTTTGAATTTCACCCCTCCCTCATTGAAACTGATGTATTGTTTGCTATTCAGATTTGGAAACCCTGAGTTAGAACTAGTTTGAGCTGTTGCAGAATGGACTTTTAAGTTTTGGGTCAAAGGGTGAGGAGACACCACATTGATTAAGGCAATTGTGCCTGTGTATTGGATTTTAGTGTTTGGCTTTTAGTGAAGGTTTGTTTGGGGTCTCTAGCATATCTGTTCCCTGCAGCAAAGAGTCTTTGAAAACTTGGAGTCAGAGGAGTCATTAGCCAAATGGTATTTCTTAGATGCCTCCCGTCCTTTTCTCAGGGAAGGTCTTAGTTTTGTGCACAGCAGGTGTGAAGCAGAGGGTGACAGCGGCCAGCTAGTCAGTTGAGAACAGTGACACGCTAACGTGTGCTTTTGACTTGCCGGGTCTCACAGGCTGATACAAGCTTTCGGAATTTTAGTTACAGCCTCCCCCAAGCTGCCAAAAGGGATGGCACCCGATTTAATTGTTGGCGGGTTCATTTTGTTTTGAGGCCCACCACTAACCGTATCTGGGGTATATTCCCATTTTACTTTTGGAAAAACAAGACCTACGCGTCACAATCATCTAAGTGACTTACTGGCAGAGTTAAGAGGCAAACCCATCTTCCTTCCCGTTCTTCCTAATTCTTCTATAAACACAAATTACACATTTCACTTGCTGAAGAAGCATCATGTTCGAAGACATTTCCCATGGACTCTGGCACCGACACCCACCTTGATTTTCCTGCTGGCCTGGCTCTTCTCATGCCTGATCTGTCAGAGAACTTGAGATTCTCATGGTCTGTGAGAGTGGCAACAAGGCGAATCACCTCCACATCTTCTACTGTCTCTGAATTGCTTTTTATTTGAGCTACATAACCCTTTTAAGGGCAGACAGAGTGAATGACAAAACCCTCACTGACAGAAAAAAAAAAAGAACTTTGGAGCTCTCGGTGTGGCTGCTTTCTTCTGAAGGGTTGTGTTTTCTGGGCAATAGGGCCAAAAAAAAAAAAAAAAAAAAAGGGCCAGGGAAGCAGAGACTGTGAGTTTTCGGTCTAAACCAGATGAGATGTTACCAGCACCTTCGTGCACGTGCAGGAGAGAGAAAGGATCGCTGACTTGGGATCCGGCGTGCTAAGGAAGCACTAACAGATGCTCACGATGTGAGACTAATTAACATTTGGCCCATGTTCTTCTAATTAACTTTCCTCTGCAAGATATATTACCCCCACTGCTCCCCCACCTCCAAAACACACATAGAGAAACCCCCCAAAACCAGGCCAATTTAATGAACAAACTTTTATCATTTCATGCCAGCCCCACGCGCTGTCTACAAAACCCACCGTCCTTGGTGACAGCTTCGAATGATTTCTTGAGTGAGGCGCAGTATCAGTGCGTCAGATGACTTCTAGGAAGCTTTTTGTATTGTTATGTAGTGTATAGAAATGGGCCAACTTGGCTGCATTTAGGGTTCATCAACCATTGCAAATGATTCTTCAAATGTTTTGGGTTTGGTAAAACCTAAAACACATTTTTGCCCAGCACTTTTCCTCCTTAATTTTTCAAACTGTGTATTTTAGGGAAAATTTGATCCATATGGTTTTGATTCATTTACTCTTATATCATTGACATTTTTTTTTTCCTATGGAGCCATTTGA